CGCCAGCAGCAGCAGCGGCACGGCAGGCACGCGCCGCACGGCACGCCGCGGGAGTGGCGCACCTGTACACGGCGCATGCGGCCGACGCGCTACTGCGCGTTGCTGTTGCCTTTGAGCTCGTCGACTGCGGCGAGGACTGCAGCATTGCGCAAGAGGGGGGGGGGCACGAAAAAAAGTGAGTATGATAATGTCCCAATGCGGCAAACAGAAGACAACAATGGAGAGTCGCCGTCACCGCGCGCGAAGTCAGGGGAATATTGGTGCGAGAGCTGGAGGTCCTGCTTTCGCTTTGCGCAGTTCGCCTGCTCGTCCTCCCCCTTTTCCCTGTGCCCACGTTAGAAGACCCTTCTTTCCTTCCCGCGGTGGATGTACGTCGTCTGCGTGCGTGCGTGTGGGCGAGACAACAATGGACCACAATAAAAAAGTAAATTCAACACAGCACAAGCAAACAAGAAGAAAAATGGTGTGAAAGGGCCTAGCAATACCAAAGACAAAAAAGAACAAAAAAAGAGCACGTTCAATTGCTTCACTGGGTGGGTGTTGGGCCTATCTGGCTTCTACTTCTAATTCCGCCACGGCCCGCCCTTAACGCCGTGCTGCCCAACAGGCACCACAACGCAGAAGAAGAAAAGAAGAGAAGTGAGAGAAGTGCACGCACCGCAAGCGAGGCACCCGCAAGCAAGGCAACAGCAGCAACAACAGCAGCAGAAATGAGGTTCCCCAGCAGCACCAGCGGCAGGGCGACACTGGAATAAAAACAAGAGAAGTAGGAAGAAGAACAAGTAAGACGATGAGAACGAATGAAAAAGAAAGGAGGTGAGACCACAAAACGAGATGATGCAAAAGGAAAAAAAAATCAGAAGCAAACACACACAGAGGTCCCAACGCATACATGGGCTTCGCACGGGCTCCGCGCGCGCCCTCAAGCCTACACACCACGCGCCATTGGAACGTTTACTCGCGCACCGCGAAGTCTCCCGCGCCCCTTCTCGCCACTTGCTCCTGTCCCCCACCAACCCAACGGGGCCCGCGGAACGGAAGCCGTGGCAGCCCTCCTGCCCGATCCAGCACGCGCACGGGGATCAATATGGAACACAACATATACTCCACACACACACACACACACACAATTCTTTTCCCACTCATTAGTGGCCTTTTTTCTTCGTTTTCGTTTTTTGCACCCCTCTCCCCTCGATTCTTGGCACCACTGTCCCTCCACTCCCTCTTCCTTCTCCTCCACACACACACACACACACACAGAGCCGCCAAGAGCCAGTTTAAAGAGAAAAACGATACAAGTGGAACGCAATATACGCACACACCACACCACGTCGAGAGAGTCAGAGAGAAAAAAAGAAAAATTGCAAAGCACCTCCCAAACAGCCCCCATGACTCCTGTCAACTCCCGTTTCTGTCGGTCGGTCGGTCTGCCTGATTGTGTCTGTGCTACACACTTATCGCACATAGTGGTATAGCACAACACGAGCGAAAATAATGCTATCGTCTTTACATTCAGCATGCTCGATTCTTTGCTTTTCTCAACTCCTCCCGTGGGCGGGTGATGACTCCTGATTTTGTTTTACTGATTCATTTACTTGCCTTCCTTTTCTTAGCGTTGGTACTTTTTTTGTCGTTGGTATCACTTTGTGTATGTCACTCCTGTTTTTTTTTCGTTGGTTTTCGTACTCTGTTGCGACCATGTCTTAATGTTGTTGCTGTTGCCTCTTTCTCTGTCACTGACTTCATTCTCCCTCCTGAGCACAGCAGCACACACACACACACATAACCGTGCTCGAAGTGTGGGGCACGTTGCACGTTGACGTTCGGTTACACAGCCTGTTGTATCTCCGCGACAATCGCCGCCGCCTCCTCGTCCCCCGGGGTCTCGCGCAGCGCGGCCTCCGCGACCTCCAGCGCCTCCTTCATGCTTCCACCGTCCGCTAGAATGGCCGCCTTCGCCTTGAGCAGCGTCGCGACTGTCTTCCCGGCGACGCCGCCGGCAGCGTCAGCTTCCTCCGGCGGCGGGTTCTGTATGAGCGGGTCGAGGAACGCCAGCGCCGCCGCGTCGCCCTCTGTCTCGCTCAGCAGGAACGCCTTCTCGCGCAGCAGTGTAGGGCGTGGGTGGAGCGTGATGGCGCTGTCCAGAAGTCCCAGCATCTCCTTGCGCAACGCCTTGAGCCGTGCCTCATCGCTGGCCTCATCAATGAACTGCTTCAGTATCCGTATGTGGCGCTCCAGGGCGGCGATGCAGTTCGGGTTGGACTCAACGGCGTGTTCGTACGCCTTACAGGCCTCCTCGAGGTTTCCTGCGGCCTGCAAGGCGTCTCCAAAGACGACGCAGCCGGTGTGCATTCGGTCCCATGCGTGATGGCACGACACCTTCGCCGCCTCCACCGCCTTCTGCACTACATCCGCCTCCGCCTCTGCCTCCGTCGCCGTCTTCAGCAGAAGGTCCGCATGGTACGCGTGCATGCGAGCGAGCGCCGGTGTCATGCCGCGGTTCCCCTGCGCCACAGACTGCTCACGGATAAGCGCCGACAGCTGCTCCAACGCCGCCTGTGGCCCCTGCGTGCACTCCACCGCCTTGATCCTCATCAGCTTCGCCAGCTCCGGCTGTTGAATAAGCGTGTACTTCTCTGCCGCCGCCGTGAACTGCTCGGCCGCGTCCTCGTACTCTTCCATCTGCACCAGAATCTCCCCCGTCGCGTCCATGCAGGGGCCAACCTGGAACGGTGGCGCCGTCTCCCCCTTGAACAGGAACAGCCGCATCGCGCCTAAGAGATAGTCCCTGTCCCATAAGTCAAACCCCTCACCGATCGCCGTCTTGGCGAAGCGCTGAACCGTTGATTCGGTGCGCAAGCGTCCCTGCCTCATGACCATTCTTTGTTTGTTTGTATGTTTGCCTGATTTTTTCTCCCAGTCTCGCTCTTTCTTCCTTTTTTTTTTNTGTGTTCCTCCCTTCCTTTCAAGTTTTGTGCTCGCACTGCTGAGCCCTCTCCCTAAGTTACCTGCTACGACCTGAATCGACACGAACGAATATCCCCGTTCTTTCCGATTCCTCCTTCACACTCTTCGTGCGTAATGTGAGATTTGAGCTGCCTTTTCCTTATACGCAAGATTTCCTTCAGAGGGTGAGAAGTCAAGAGAAACGCAAAGCACACAGATTTGGGCGGCGGCGGCAGCGGCACGAACAGAAATCGCGGGTGCCCACGCGCCCCGCACCGGCAGACGCACCTGGTGGATGCGCCCCCGCCTCAACGTCAGCGGCTTGGAAAGAGTCCGTCAAGATGTTAGCAAGTAAGTCGCCGAAGCGCATGCACACATACAGACGTTCGCTCAGACACAAGCAGATACTTTCGCTTCCCTTCTTTTTCTCTCGATCGTCCTTTTTCTTGCGTTCTCGCTCATTGAACTAGGGCGGCACCCACCCGCATGCACCCACTCAATAGCATGGGCAGAGCCACGTTGAATTCGATCCTCGTCGCTATCAAGTTACCGCTGTCACCATCATAAACATCATCACAGCAGCCTCCTCCCCGCTGCCTGTTAGTATTTCTCTTGGATTCCCTTTTTGTTTTTGCTCTCATGCCTAGCCATTGATTAGGGTGCTTCTACTCTCGCCGCCGCCGCCGCTCCTGGTACTCTTCTCTCCCCTAGCGGACGGAAGCGGAGGAACCGCCGGTACAAACACAGCGACCCCGCGACAAGACACGCAGGGAACACGAGCAGCAGCGGCACCGCCCACCACGACATCTTGTTCGTTGAGTCGTTCGTCACATCATCGGGAACAGCGTCGGCGGCAAGGGTCGCGTGAGGAATGGCGGCAAAGCGTTCACGCCACGCCGGCTCCTCGCTCGGCGCACTCGGGAGCTCGCTCCGGTGCTGCTGCCGCGCCGCGTGCAGGTCAACGCCGGTGCCGAAGGTGTAGTTGACGTACGGAGCCACCACCGTTGCGAGGTTGGCCTCGCTCACAGCAGGCGGCAGCAGTGTCGAGAGGAGCGACGCCTGTGTTGTGCTGTCACGCAGAAGCAATGCGTACCGTAGAAGAAGCTCCGGTGACGGCGTCACGCCGCCCGCCTCATCCGAGGCACCCGCGCTTCTCTTCGACACACGAGCATCCGAGAGCAGCGACAGGGAGAGCGTGTAGAGCGGGTAGCCCTGCGGCTGTGTGGCGTTCGCGCCAGACACGGGGGCCACAACACCACGCTCCGCAAGCCGCACCACAATGAGCGCCGGGTCGATCTGCAGCAGCCGCGCCACCGCCTTCTGGAAGCGTTCGAGTGCCCCCGCGCCACTGTTGAGGTCCAACGACGCCTGAGCCGTAGGCGCGCGTTGGCGCACGGCGAGGACTGCGACGACCGCAATGTCACGGGCATAGTACGAGCCATTGAAACTGGGGTCCACACGCAACACGAGTGGGAGTCCGCTAACGTTCTGCAGCGGCGCCACCGACTCGCTAGGCGCCGCTGTTACCAGCGAAGTGGTATTTGTTGTGCCATTCACGTCGCCCTCGTCGCCGCTATGCGGCGGTGCGTTGGCGCTGTAGAAGTGCACCCCATCCACCGACGTGCACACAAGGTATGAGATAGACTCACGGCTCAGACGCTCCTCTCTTGTCGCCGCCCTTCCAAGCAATGCATGCGCGCTAAGACCGCCCTCGCTGCGGAGCGATGCGGTGTGCTCCAGCCACTCCCGTCGAAGCACGCCATCACCAACACCAGCACTGCTGCTGTTGTCAGCAGCCTGCTCCCAGAGACAGCCGCTGCGAGCGTCGACGATAAACACCGGCAGCGCGAGTGGGTTAGGGACGTAGTCACCCCAGCTCGGGTTTACCTCCTCGTTCACCGCAATCACGGATTGCAAATCTGCTCCGTCGCATACTTCCCCAAATGCGTCCGTTCGAAGGACCGCAACTGCCAGCGCCTGTATGGCACCAGCAGCATAACGGCCGCTCCCTGCGCCGATACCATTCCCAACAAAGCACTCGCTTGCGCCAAAGAAGTAGCTGGGCGGCCGATCCACAAAGAATGACACTTTCGCTGGTGACAAGTACGAAGCAGTTGATGGCGACGCACCGCGGCTGACGAAGCGCTCGAGTCGCTGTGCTGTTGCCGTCACGGTGTTGGGGTTGTACGGCTGTCGCTCCGTCATCACCGGGCCAACAATGGTAGGCGGGAGGATCACCAGCCGCAGGAACGATGACGTCGGTCCTACTGCACGAAAGCTCAGGCCACCGTCGACGCTGTAGCACACGCGATAGGCGGTGTGATTCGTGACACAGCCGAGGTCCTCCGGGCTCAAGCGGACGGTGAACGACACCACATATTTCCATAAAACAGGGTGTGTTGCGTTGGCGCCGCCCTTTTTGAAAGGCCACCGGAGAGCACTGCAGGCGTCAGCAGCATCTGGCACATCCACTACCCCTGTCGGCGTAAGTGCAATGCGGATGTCGCCCATAAACGGAACGACAGAACCTCGCAGGGAAAGCACCGTCTCACTGCCTTGGAACACAGCCAGTGCCCCGCTAAGAAGCCCAGAAACCTCGTTCACCACGAGCGACGAGACTACTTCAATCTTCACAGGTGTATCCAGGTAGACTTCCCCCTTTCCGAGGCGGGAGGGGAGGTACTTTTTCACACAAACCTTGTACAGCCCATCCGGAACGTAGTTCATCGCAGTGGGCAGTTGCAGCGTCGTCGTCGGCATCGTCATCGTCGTTGCCGTGGCACCGGCCCACTCGAGCGGTTTCACCACAATGCCATCCATGGCGTAGGCACGCTCAGCTTCTGGCGAAGCGCAGGAGGTAACACTCTCGCTGACAAGACGCAAAACCGCACCAGCTTGAATAGTGTGGCCACAAGGTCCTGGGATGGGCAACAACCACCCAGTGGAGCGACCATGCAGCTGCTGCAACGTGCTGGGTACCTCCCCAATGCAATGAAGCGACATCGGCAGAAGCTGCAACGTCAAGCCAGTGGGGATGTCTCGGTAGCGATAGTTGGCGGAAAAGTACAACGGACCGCCCTCCTCGCCGTCGTTCATAGTCACCGGAGGAAAGTAGAGTTCTCCGCCGCTCGCAAAGCCCGTGTCTTGCAGGAAGCCAGTCCAGAGCACGTCGGTGGTGAAATCACTCACGTAACGGCTTAACGGGGTTGCCTGAAACGGCTGTGGTGGTACAGCGTAGCGGACGTCGACGAGCTTCCCATACAGACTTGCTTGCTCGATGAGGTGCACTACGGTGGAGACAACGGCACCACCTTTCTCTACCTCTTCAGTGTCCCCGTCCTCGCTCATGTTCTCTCCCTGCATTGACAGCTGCACCCGCAGTGTTGGCGCCCACGACACTGACACGTAGGAGGCTCCAAAGGACAAGTAGTGCCGGCCCCCATCCACGGAGACACAGAGCGAGGACGGCGACCACGGTTCCACAGTCCCGTTCTTCGCCGTGTGCAACGGCAGCGCGAAGTCCACCACCGGCGCCGACCCATCCTGCGTCGTCACCCGCACCGTGTCCTTCACAAACGTGGCAGTCAGAGCGGTGAGCGGGGCAAGACTCGCCTCCGGTTCCTGTGGGTTTGGCACGCTGCAGGGCCTTCCGACACGGAACTTTGCCAGGCGGAAAAGTGACAACGCCCCCGGCGTATCTAGCATGTCGATGTAACGTTCCTCCACGTCGCGAATCTCAGCCAAGGCCGTGGAGTTGGGTGCGTCGCTAGTGTTGCCGTTGCCTATTCTCGACTCCATCGTGACAACCAAAAGCATCGACTCATTGTTTCGACGGACAACGAGGTGATGCAGACCGTTCTCTTCCGCCACAAGGTTTGGCATAGTCTTGTGCAGAGTGACAGACGTCACAGCAACATCAAGCACTCGGAAGAAAAGGCCAGAGGGACGGAACCCGTGAAAAGCCGTCGTGTTGCTTTCATTCTCGCTGCCAGCTTGGCGAACACATATGTGCAGCCGCTCCCTGGTAGCGATGCGGGTGTGTGTCTCCGTCACTGAGATGGCGCCCGGAACTGTGACGGTGATGATGGGAAGACCCTCGAGGTTCGCGTGGCACGCAGATGACAGCAGCACCTGCGCCCCCACCGAAAACTCATTGATGTTCCTTGTGCTTCTGCTGCTAAGGGTGCCGTCGTCACCTTCGTCATCGTTGTTAGCACCATACAGCCCGGCCATGCTTACTGTACCCTTGCTCTTACGCGGCACAACGAGGGTACGACGGAACGCAAGTTCGGTGATACGTGCCTCGTCTGCGGGCCAGTCGCGCCGTATCTGTGATGGCAGCACGGTCAGTGAAAGGTTTGTCATAACGTAAGATGCGCCGCCATCTGTTGAAAGGCACATCAACGTTGGTGCCTCGATACGGGCGAAGTGAGTAGCGGGAAAGAGAAACACGCCGTGGTCATCCTCAATAGTGAGTGGCTCCTCATACAGAAGCGTGTTATTCAGCTGCTGCACCTTGGCCACGAGCTCTGTCCTATTTTTCCCCTCACCCTTGTCGCCCACATTAACCTCCTCGTCACAGCGTGATCCGAAGCGCAGCATGAAACCGCGTTGAATGGCATATCCATTCAAATAGAATACTCTGCTCGTTTCCTCCACGTGCAAAATCAGTGTGCGGTTTCCCTCTGCCTCGGTGCGATCAGTAGAGGAGTCCATTGCTCTTCTTTCGTGGCCAAAGAAGGGTACCGTGGTGTTGCTTGGATCATCCGGCTGGGAACAGAACCCTCTTGGAATTGGTGTTGTGAACTGCAACTGCACGAGTGGGGAAATGGATTCCCGCCATCGTTCCGGTGCGGTTTCTAGGCACATGATCCACGGCTGTGTCGCGTTGGGGTAGAAACTCACGTTTCGGCTCACGCTGCGCGGTATCGTGAGAATGCTGTCCTCCAGGACAAACGGGCCACGGATTATGTCCGGCTGGACGGCCTCGAAGTCAACAAAACAGGGATCTCTGTCGTCGTCTAATGGCCGCACAAACATGAGACGCCTCCAATTACCGCACGGTACCACATCCCTCCTGCCGCTACTACTCTTCTTGTTGTCATTGGTATTGTTTTCTGCTGCACTACCGTCGCGACACCAAAGCGCCACCGCCAGCTCGCGTGCAACGGCGCCCACAATGTTTGTCGTGTCCTCCTCTTGTGTAAGCCACTCAAGCGCAATCTTCGTTGGTGGTAGGGCAGTGAAGGAGACGACATCCTCACTACCGTCATCAGCAAAGTATCTGTAGCGTGTCGGCCTGCGTATGTGCTCGCGCACATCCAACACGACACCAGAGCTCATCCACGGCGTTGACCGATCAGGCTTAAAACACACCTTGTACTCTTGCACCTTGAGGCCACGAATAAGTTCACGCTCGAGTACGATGTAGTGTGGCTCACTCGTCTCACTGTTGTTGTCACCCCTCTCCGGTGGGTGAATGGCATTGCCCACGAGGCTCAGCCCATCAAACAGGTTCCGCACAATCACATCGTCCAGGCCGCTGGGCATCGGCGTGCTGCAGTTCGCAGTCAAGGGCCGGAAGCGCAAAAGAGACATGTTTGAGATGCTCGACCCACTCACCGGAAGCGCCCACTCCTGTCCTTGCTCCACCGTGACGTACTCTGTGCGGTTCAACGAAAAGAACGCGTATACAGGATCCACCAGCTTGATACGCAGCCCCTTGAGTTCGAAGAACTGGAGTGCTGCCTCTGTCCCCTCTTCCGACGAAAGCCGCTCAGGATAAATGGCACTTGCACACAACTTAAATGTCCCAGTATTGGTTAGCAGTTTCGGCACGATGACCGCGGACCCGTTCACTGCCGTAATAAAACGATCAGAACTGTTCGTATTGATAAAGTAATTTTTCAGCTTCTTGCATGGCACGAGCTCCTCAGCGAGAAACATGAAAAGTGGATTGCCTAGTCCATACGTGTGTGTAATGAGTGGCCCGACAAGCTGAATCTTCTCCCAGTATCCCAGTGTCGGGTGACGTGTTTTACGTGTCAGATGTTTTGTCGTGCTGTTTCCGAAAAGGAAGCCGTCCGTAGTTGGGATGATAAGCTGATACAATATACCAGTTGGCACAAACCCTTTTCTCCAGCCACCCGCTTTAGTGGTTGCATTCACGAGCGCGTCAGCATCTCGGTAGCGCACGCACCATTGGAATCGATCGATGCTGTTTTCTGTGGGCTCGAGCGCCCCAATGCGCGCCGTGTGCGCCTGTGTGAGCGAAAGGAACCACGACGACATGGACTTTTGCGAATTCACGTAACGCGAGAGGGAGGAGGTGTTAGCCCCGCAGCCAGTGTGGTGATTGGCAGCCATCGACGGCACTCCAGACGTGCGAACGGGGCTTCGCCACAGGAAGCTCGTCGCGTTGCTGCAGTCCACCGCCGGGACGAACGCCGCCTCCCCGTCATACAGGCCAAAGCCCTCCACCACGAGGTCGACGAACGACGAGTACGTCACCACCGCCTGCGGCGCAGCCGGCTCGCATGCCGCGCGTATCGACGTCACGTATGGACGGCGCACAACAAACTTGAAGGCGAGCGGGTACACTGCCCGATACGTTCCTGGCGCGTAGAGGCATACAAACAGCGGCGTCCGCGCCGCCCCAAAGATGCGATCAGCCTCTGATGGCGCTGTATGCATCTTGCTAAGGGTGATGAAGGCGTCGCTGCTCGTAGCAGCGGCGGCGAACTCCAGCCGGTACTTCGGTGGCACGTCGTAGGGTCGCATAATGGTGAAGTTCAGGCGACTGATGCGGTCAATGTAGGTTTGCATGTCCTCGCTCTCGCCCCCCATATCGCGCCGCGGGTGGCAGCGTTCTTCTGACAAAAACAGCATCATGTCATCACTCAATCCGTAACCAGAGAGTGATAACACCAAGTCGTCGGCATTATCGGCGATTTCCACGACCGTCAGGCTTTGGTCCGTCTCCCCTGCTGTGGGAAAGTGGGCCGTATATGGCCCAATGAAGTAAACCTCGACGGGGCGGACATCGACGGTTGCGGTAGTCGGAATGAACACACGGTGGTCGCTACGAAAAGGCAGTGGGACTGACAGACACACACGCATACGGCGCGTGGTTTCCTTGTCTATAAATCCCGGTGGAAGCACTACCACCGCCGCGCCTCGCTGTGTATCTGACATCGAGCCATTTTTGATGGCATCCTCTACAACGCTGTTGGTGGCGCTACGCGGCACCACGATGCCCAAGGTCCGCTGGCGATAGAAAAGAGAGGTGTTGGTGCACTGGAAGGTTAAGTCCGCGATACTCGAATTCCCTGGAGGAGGCTGCGCAAACGCAATCTCTGAATTGCTGAGTGTGCTCGGCGACCACATATCCACGTCGAGACCCCATAGTCGCAGCAATCCGCTGAATCCTGCGCTAATTTTTAGTTCTGGAGAGGCACCGTTGTTAAGACCATCGTTATTGTCTTCATCCGTTGTGACAGCCAAGATTCGAGCCCTTTTTACGACAATTTTTATGTCTGTGAGTGGCATAAAGCTTAAGAGTGGGGTGTATGCAAAGCAAACCTGCCACGTTTGTTCCTCATCCGCCAAACTGACGCCCCACATCCCTGTATGATTGAGGTTCAGTTGGACAAACGCCAAGCTGTTACTGCTGTTTTCGCCACTGCTGACATTTTTATCACTGGCCCGCGGCGCTATTGAAACGTTCAGTGTACTCACAGCAAGGAATGTGTCTAAGGTGGCGGCAACCTCGGGGTTAGTAGGGTTGCCTCCGGGCGTCGGTTGTCGCCTCTGGCATTCCCCTATCCTCCGCGACAGCAGCAGCGACATGCCTTCTCGTAGTCCTTCACCGTCAAAAACAATCACGGGCGACGAGAACTGCGGCACCAGGAGAGTTCTCGTGGACTTCACCTGTGGCGGCAGTACTCTGGCAGCGTCAAGGTCAACCTTGGCGGGGGATAGTGCCCACATGCCGCGCACAACAACGTGCGGCGGTGCCACGTAAACCCGCAAGTTGGGAACCAACGTGTAGAGCAGCATAGGCACGCCGTCAGCGGACCACGCCATCACTTGGGTGGTCCCATTCGTTTCCTCTGCGACCATATTGGCACCAAGCACATCAGGATACATATGGGGAATATTGCCGGCCGGCCACTGGAAAGTGGCGTTTGACGTTGGCGACGCTCGTCCTTTCTTGGATGCCGCGACGCAAACGAAAAACTCAGTGGGCAGTCGTCCGTCTTCATCGTCATGGAGACGGTCGAGGTTGGCCCCATTGGCTGGCACAACATCGGCAAACTGGTACGTGACCGTGGGCTGGAGCTGCTCATCCTCAACAACAGAAAGCTCCTCTTCAAAGAGAACGTAGCGGCTTTGCATACAGTCAGCGGCAGACGAGAGGCGTAAGTGGTGAATTTCCGCCCTTGTGTCACTACCACTCCTGTGCAAGACGAGACGCAAGGCACCGCTAGACCGCAGACGAACACCAACCACTTGGAGCCCTATTTCACGCCGGTTACTACTCTCACTGTTATCATCGTCTTGATCCCATTCTTCTGAAGGCTTCACCGGAATAAAACCATGTAGAGCCACGTCCACCACCTCAAATGTAATGTTGTTTGTTGGTACATAGTGCACCCCGTCACCAGAAACACACACGCGGCCACGCATCGTCTCGTTGGGGTGGGTCACAGTCACAACCCCATGCATGACCCCAAATATGTATTCCTGTTTCTTGTACCCACCGCACGGCGACATCGCAGTGGATTCGCTCCATCCAGCGCTTGCAAGAACCTCAGACATGTCCGGGGCGAACATCAGCAGGAGTCCATCCGTCGCTCCGCCAGCGCTCGACACGGTGTATACACCAACAGTACCAGCAGCCACTACCAGATGGACTGCCCCCGACAACGATGCGATGCGTGCCTCCAGCGGTCGTGTCTCGTTCGACGGTGCCGTTGTTGTTGTCGTCGTCGTCGTCGATGTGGGAGGCACCTCCGATGGGGACGGCACCGTCGGCGGAAGCAGAATCTTCCCGGCCTGGTACGCACACATGTACGCTTCTGCTGGTGCATCGCAGGGGTAGTAATACCACGCGCCGGCGGGGCCAACAGTCATGCACCCCATGTCGCGGGTCGGCTGGCCGGTAGCCCACAAACTTCCTGCCAGGTACGGCACCCACTCCGTCATGCCGTCGAAGTAATGGCCAGCCACGCCTCGCTCAATGTATGACGCGCCTATCAGCGCATGCAGCAGGCCTGCGTTGGCAACAAGTTGACCAGAAAAGGCACTCTCCTCCACAGATGCAATGGCTGCCGCGTGAATGGTTTCAGGTGGTGCAATGTCGGGGAGCAGCTGGCCGCAGCGCTGCTCTAAGTCCGCCGCAGCGACGCTATTGCCAGTCAAAACACGATAGCATCGATTGGTTGGCGCGAAATACGCCCAGTCATCTATGCACAACAACTCTGTAGGTGGTAAGGCAGGTTCTGTGGTGTTTTTGTTGTCTTCAGAATCCAACGACGACCCCGCGCCACTCTCTGGTGTGACACTCGGAATCTCCGTGCCGATGGAACCGTCGTTGAGGTACGCGCAGACAAAGGGCAGCACTTCTCGACAATCCTCCGCATACCACGTGCCGCTCACAGACACTGTCACGCAACCGAACGCCACGCTGGGCTCTCCCGCGCCCCACCGCGAGTAGAAATGGTTCGCTACTGTTGGCCACGTTGGGCTTGACGGAAAGCTGGTCGTGTTGTTATCGGCGCCGTACCACAGCGCGTCCTCGTACCACACGCCCACCGACCCGTGAGCGGTGAAGATGCCGCCGATGAAGACCCGAATCCGCGACAACTCATCGATACGGTCTTGCGCCCAGTCCTGCACCAGGCCGCTGAGAAAGGTATTCTCGTCTTCACTCAGGACGGCAGTGAGAGTGATGCGTGGGTGAAGTGCCTTGCAGTACTGCTGCGCCGCCTGTTGATTCATCCCTTCCTCTGCCACCTCCTCCGTCTCCGCGTAGAGACGGTAGCACTTGTCGGCATGCGGCACCCACCCCGTAGCGCACGGCGGTGGCGGTGACGGCACAGGCGGGCGCGTGGGCCGCTGTGGTGCGTCCTCCCCGCCACCTTCCGTCGGGGCACCCGTCGTTGCACCGCTGCCGTCTCCGCTGTCCTCCCCGCCGCCGCCGCCGCCGCTGCCACTGCTGCTATTATTGGTATTGCCATTACCGCTGTTAGAGCCGTTATGTGGGACAAAAGCGCACACAAAAGGGCGCGGCGGTGCACTGCAGCTTACCAAACTCCAAAAGCCATCGCGTTGCATTGCAATACAGCCGCTATGCGTCTCCCAGTTCACTGATGGCGCAAAATGCGTATAGAGCGGGGTCGTGCCGTCGTGCCAGAAAATATCACCGAAACCGGCTGCACCGCCGAGTGCTATCCGATCTCCAGTGTGACTGAATATTGGGTCCAACAGTTGCTGCAGCCACGCGTTTTGCTCGTCAGAGTGAATAGAAACCGCATGGGGAATGATTCCTGTGTACACACTGTCACCACCACGTGGCGGGTCCAAATCGAAGATACGTTCACACACTTCGCCTACCCCCTCCGGCGCCACCAGAATGGTCTGCGGCTTGACGCACCAAGCCTGATCAGCACCAGATGGCTCCCCAACACCCACTTTTGGCCCCGGCGACCACAGCGTCCAACCGATTGGACAAAAAGAAGTGGAGAGGTATGGGGCTGCGGAAACAGTCACAGAAGAGCAGCAAAGCGTCCACTTGACCACTAGAAGCAGCAGTAGGAGAGGGTGCATCCTCGTTGAGCGACTACAGCGCGACATCCCCATAACCGACAGAGGTAACCCGTTCCGCCAAGCGGTGACGATATGTGGACTACACAGGCGCTTGTTGCCCCTATCCTTTATCGATTAAGCCCCTTTGTTTTATCGTTTTTTTTTCTTAACGAGTCTTCCCTTCCCCAGAAAAAAAATTTCTGATATAAAGGTTTTTCTTTATTCTCCGTTTTTCGTTTAAGTGGACCGATCTCACCCTCAACTTTCAGATCCTTTTCTCGCTCGCTTCCCTACTCCACCACATACACACACACACACACGAGGAGAGAGGAACAGAAGAAGAAAAGAATGGACACAACAGCTGCAGCGAAAAAAAAAAAACGTTAGCTCATTCACCAAGCACCGAAGAGTCAAAAAACCGCACCAAAATGGCATCAATGAGACACAGCTGTCAGGGCCAGCAGGCTCACTTATCATTGGCAGTAGCTGAGAACATAAGAATTACTCAGTAACGACATCCAGCGAACAAATAGTCAGGAAGAGGAGAGGAAAGATACGGTCGCCAAAAAATGGCGCTATGATTCTCCCAACTCTCTCACGTGCTTTGCGCGGGCATATGGAAAGGTACTGAATATTATATAGATATAGATATAGGCAGATGCGTAGAAAGATAAACACTNTCACGTGCTTTGCGCGGGCATATGGAAAGGTACTGAATATTATATAGATATAGATATAGGCAGATGCGTAGAAAGATAAACACTATGGAAGACAGAGAAAGGAAATGTAAAACAAAGTGCGGTGGTAGAGCGGCAGGCCCTCATAAGTCACGTGGTGACCAAAGAGTTTTCTTGGCACCTGCTCACCCGTCCGTCGCTGTTCTTCTCCCTGCAATCCCTCCGCCCCTTCGGCGGAGACATTGGAAGCACCGAGGGCAGACTGGCCACTGTATCGATTGTCTGTTGCTCAACTCTTTTTGCGCCTTTGATTGGCTCCTTTTGCCCCTTCTGTTGCGCATTTGTTCGAGCAATCGCATCCCCTTGCTCAAAGAAGGGCGGTGCTCACATAACAACGACAAACAAGTGGTGAACGGTGTGTGATAGGAACATACAAACAATGAAAAAAAAAACAGCCAAGACACACTTCCCTCCCAAGCACCCCTTGCCCAAAGGTAAAGCACAAACAAAGCGTACAGGACGGTGTGGGGGGGAGGGAGAAATTCTACCGATCCTCCAGTCCAACTTCTTCTCTCCCGGTTCTACTATTCGATACATCTCCGTGTTCTCCTGTCTTCTTTCTATTCGGCTCTTTTTTGTTCCCCTTTCTCCCTTGTTTTGCACATATTCATTGAGGGTACTTGTCACCAAAAAAAATATATATATACTTTTCTTTTTTTTTCCTTTTCGTGTCAATTTAGCTTTTCTTTTCGTCTCTATCCCCTTTTCTCTCTCTCTCTCTCTCTCATTCTTTCCTTCCTTCCACAGGGTTTGTTGCTGGACTTCGGCTCCTTTCATGTGGTTCCGCTGCGAGCCCACGCGCTCAGAAGAGCGCCGGTCCCGCCCTCTCCTCCGCGAAGCCCTGCGTGGTCCCCTTCACCTGGTAGTACACGTCATCCACCGCCTCCGTATCCGCCGAGAACTTGGGGAAATTCTCGAAGACTACGTTCGCGTTATCGAGACGCTTGAAGTTGACGCGCACACCGCCGCAGCCATCTTCGCCGATGGGCTTCGAGCAGCGGATGCCAAGCACGACCGGCACCTCCGCCACTTCTGCAGCTGAGGTGTCGGCGCTCGTCTTGTCTCGGTTGATGAAGTGCAGCGGGCTGACTTTGTCGTGCAGCTGCGTAAACCACGCGGCGCTTCCATACACTGTCTCCTCCGTCTCCATCATGCGTGGAATGACAAGGTACGGCGACTCCTCCGGGGTGAGCTTGCAGACCATGCTTATCTCCCGCGCCTGCATGAAGGTCCACTTCTCCTGCGACGGCTTCGTCGCGTCCAGAGAGGTGTTCCGGATCACCTTGTGAGTCCCCAGCTGCTTGTCATGCGTTGTGGAAAGAGAGATCATGAGCGGTGGGTACTCGAAGGCTCCCCTCTCCTCGTCGCTTTCGAAGAGGAGGCTGCGATGATTAATGTTAGAGAGAATGAAGCAAACCCATACAGGGCTGTCCACACTCACCTCTAGCACGAGCGAGGGGCGGCAGTCCGCGAAGTTCAGTGGGATGCGGTAGTCGTATGCCGGGTGGCGATACAGCACACCACCACCATTGAAGTATTTGAGCACGTGCTCCCAGTCCATCCAGACAGCCTTGCCGTCGTCCACTTCGCCTGCGCAAACGTCGGCCACTTCAGGGTGCTTCTCCCATTCCTTGCTGCTGGCAGACCACGGCCCGTCCCACTCTTCAGAGGATCCCCAAACGTTGCAGATCCTCACCAGCCGCAAGTCACAACTCTCGGGGAAGTGGCGTACCGCGCGGACGGTGTACGCGTGGCCAGGCAGGAGTCCGGTACCACCGAGGATTTGCTCCAGCTCTGGATTGTCAGCGAAGATGGGAGTGTGGGTGTTGGTGCCAGCAATGAAGGCGGGCGCCTTGCCAGCAGTCGTCAAGATCATTTGATAACCAGACTCGTGGTATTGTTGCAACTGCTGGAAGAGCTCCTTCCCTCCATTCCTCTGCGCCGTGGCGAAGGCATCGTCGAAGCGAGAGGAAGGACACCCTGTCATATCAGTGAGGGCGTGTACGGGGTCGCCGGACTGTATCATCCCGTAGCTCTGGTGCATCTTCGCATACGCCTTCTCAAGAATCGCGGGCCACAGCTCGCACGAGTCCGTGCTGTGAGCAAACTTCGGCGTCCCTCCCACAACCGGAACATAATCATCGACGACAATGCTGTTCCAGAGACCGTTCTTGTTGAGTGTAACGCGGTAAGCCCCAGACTCCCGTTCACGTCGTGCAGCCTCAGCGCCGCCTGGGTGGCGAAATAATTGCATTAAATCATCCGGATTCTCTTCGAGTGTTGCGATGGCACACATAAGCCAGCAGTCACCAAGCTCGCCTTGGGACACGTCACCTGGCACAATGGGCTTCCGGAAAAGGCGCAATTGCTGCACAAGCGACGGATGCACGTACATGCGCGGGCGGAACCATGGTACCTGCTTGATCTGCCTTCCTGATCCCATTTCGACGCTCTTCTGCTCAGGCAAAAATTCCAGATCCACAAATGGTAAGTTATTCTCCGCGCATGCCGTCGCCACTTTAGCCGAGTCCCTCTCGTCGCCGACAAGCGCCCTCACATTTTCAATTTCCACTTCGACAACGCCACTGTGTTGGAGTGCCTGTCGCTCCGCATAGTATTCGTCGGAGAGAGGCAAAGCACGCAAAGAGCTGTTGAATCCGTTTACGAAGCCCTTGACAAACATCTCCGTCTCGCAAGGGTACACAACAACCTCCGCAATATAGCTTCCATCAGAGGCGCGGTGCATCGTTGTGTTCTCCAGCGCCTCCAACTTTGAGTGCTTGCCAAAGGTGCACTTGACGTGAACCTCGAATGCGAGACTGTCGTTGTAAAAAGCCCATGTCTTCTTCTTCTTGTCGATAATGCGGTAGAGTAGCCCGGGCTCATCGAAACAAGAAACGACTTCACCCTTCATATCGGGCTCACCATTTTCGAACATGTTCTTCGGTTTCTCTTCCTCTTCATCGTAGAATACTGGCTTCTGCGCGGTGCCAATGTCGAACTCGTCGTCCGGGTCGTCCTGCGGCACCGACAAGCTCACCGGTTCCCACCGCGTTGGCTGCTGCATCGGGGTCTTCCGCGGCTTCACGGCAGCCTTCGCGTGCTGCTCATGTTCTGGCGGTTCCTGCTCGGCCTCATTGGGGAGGGTACGCGCCTCGAGTGTGCATGAATCCTCTGGCGGTTCCTCTTGTTCGTTGGTGGTGGCAGCGGCCGGCGCCCCTGGCTTCTNGGTACGCGCCTCGAGTGTGCATGAATCCTCTGGCGGTTCCTCTTGTTCGTTGGTGGTGGCAGCGGCCGGCGCCCCTGGCTTCTCAGCCGCGTCGAAGTCCACCGAGTCGGAAAAGATACTGGCGTTGTCAACCACACCTGCCTCAGTCGCCGGGTAGGTGTCATCCAAACTGCGAGGACCAGACGCGTAGTTCACCTCGTTCTCACCATTGGTGACCGACATATTTGTGTTATGTGTAGCTTTCGTATTGGTAGTATTATCTACACCCCCTCCATTCAACAAGCAGGCAACCAGAGACATAGACAGACACAGAGAAACGCAAAACAGGTAATGTATATGTATGTATATATTGTGAACAAAGTGGCATTCATATGAATATATATATATATATATANAAAAAAAAAAAAAACACAAAAAAAATGCGGTTGACGTTCCATTTGGGTCCTGGTTGCCACTTGCAAACGAGCTCTTTCTGCACGCCCACATAGACACGAATCGTAGAACGAAAATGAGAGACGAGATGAGCCGACGTATATACACACACATAAACATATACATACTCTCACCCACTCACATAACTACGCCGAGGACAGAGGAAGATGAACAAGTAAAGAAAGCAGTACCTTTTGTTGTTTTGCCGCCGCCTTCTTCCTTTCTTCCTCCTTTCTTCCCCCACCATTGTTACCACACCTCCTCAATCGTCTATCCGTCGCGCACATCAAGGCCACTCGTCGGGCCCGCAGTGCTACACCTACTGCAACTGCCGCTTTCAACGCTGCACTTACGATTAGATGTGTGGTCGAACATAGCCCACGTAGTTGAATGGGGTAATAGCCAACAACTCGCGCCGCACATCCTCCGAGATACCGGTGAGCCCCTTGACGAAGTTTTGCACCGTTTCTTCCGTCACGTGAGTGTTGCCACGCGTCNACGCTGCACTTACGATTAGATGTGTGGTCGAACATAGCCCACGTAGTTGAATGGGGTAATAGCCAACAGCTCGCGCCGCACATCCTCCGAGATACCGGTGAGCCCCTTGACGAAGTTTTGCACCGTTTCTTCCGTCACGTGAGTGTTGCCACGCGTCAGGTCCTTGAGTGCCTCGTACGGCTCCGGGTAGCACTCGCGGCGAAGTATCGTCTGGATGCCCTCCGCGACCACTGCCCAGTTCGCCGCGAGATCCTTCTCAATGGTCTCCCGATCCACCAGCAGCTTGTCAAGGCCCCGTGTAATGGACGAGAAGGCGATGGCCGCGTGTCCCAGGGGGACGCCCAAGTTCCGCAGGACCGTGCTGTCCGTGAGATCCCGCTGCAGACGGGATACTGGCAGCTTCGCTGATAGGAACTTCAGCATAGAGTTACTGATTAAGAGGTTGCCCTCCGCGTTCTCAAAGTCGATCGGGTTCACCTTGTGTGGCATCGCACTGCTCCCCACCTCTCCCGTCTTCACCTTTTGGTGGAAGAACCCCATAGAGATGTACTGCCACACGTCACGGCAAAGATCAACGAGGATGACATGCGCCCGCGCGCAGGCGTCGCACAAGGCAGCGAGGTTATCGTAATGCTCAATTTGCGTCGTGTAGTGCTGTCGCTTGAGGCCCAGGTACTTGGACAGGAACATGTCACCAAAAGCACACCAATTCACCGACGGGTACGCCACAAGGTGGGCATTAAAGTTACCTGTCGCACCGCCAAACTTGCCTGTGGTGGGCACTTCGACAAGCTGCCGTCGCTGCTCCTTCAGTCGCTCGATCCATACCATAAATTCTTTCGCGACGTTTGTCGGGGACGCCGGCTGGCCGTGTGTGCGCGCGAGCATTGGGATGTCCCACTCACCGATCCTGCTCTCCAGCGCCGCGATGACGCCGTCCAGACCCGGCAGGTACATGGCTGCCAAGGCATCACGCAGCATCATCGGAATGGCTGTGTTGTTAATGTCCTGCGAGGTTAAGCCAAAGTGTACAAATTCTGAAACATGGGAGAGACCGCAGGTGCCCATGCGCTTCTTCAGGAAGTATTCCACCGCCTTGATGTCGTGGTTTGTCACCCGCTCTGTTTGCTTGATCTCCTCAGCATCGGCTAAAGAGAAGTTGTTTAGTGCAATCTCACGCAACTGCTGCAGCTGTGCATCTGTGACTGCACGTAGCGGTGTAATCGCCGGAACTTCCTTGCAGAGTGCCACAAAGTATTCCACCTCGACGCGCAGGCGGTACTTGAAGAAGGCGTACTCGGAAAAGTAGGCGCGAAGGGCGGTGGTGATGCGTTTGTACCGCCCGTCCAGGGGAGAAAGCGCCAGGAGAGGGTCGTCCCGCGTATAATCCACCGCACTCATCATCGATTTTGCCTATCTTGTTTTTACCCTGTTTCTTTTGCGTGCTGTTAGTGAACCACTGAGCGTCGGCGTGACACTTTTCAGGCTGAATAAGTAAGGCAATCATCAGGAAAGAACAAAATAGACGGCAATGGCAACACTTGCCATAGTTTATCACCTTTTTTTTTGCCTTGGCCTGACTATGTATGCAAACTGCTTTTCAAACTAATATACCGATCATTCCCTTTTCAAAAACGTCCTCCACACTAAACTCCGCCATGTCCGTAAACTGCTGCCGCACCACTGCAACGAAATCAGGTGGCTCACAGTGCGGTGTCGTCGAAAACTGCAAGAAAAACCTGTCAGGAATGTCATCTGGCAACCCTCCCTTCTCCATCTGCATCCACTCAGCACGTCGTATCAGGACCGGTGCAGGAGAACACACGGTTTCACTCCCTGCTCCTACATCAGCTTCACGCCGCTCAAGGAACAATTCAACATAATTCAAAAGCGATATATAACTGGTGTCGCACACTGCTGAAGTATCATTCAGGCCAAAATATACCGCCGCGCAAGTCGTAGCGACCCTGCGGCTAACACGAAGAACGCCCTCCCGCTCCAGCGGGCAGAGCCAACTATAGCCAGGCGGATGCAGCAAATGTCGCAGCGCTGCAAGCGTATATTTTCGGGTGCCGGGCTGCACCATGACGGGCCAGCAACCCCCACCGCCCACGTCCAGAAGCAGTCCCCAGCATGCCGCGCAGGAGTACAGCTCGCCCGCGCGGCCCAACACCCACGGCCGCAGCACCGTGCTGAGGCTCCAGAAGCAAACACCATCCTCGCGAAGCCGGTGCTCAAACAGCACCGGAGCCCCGTCCGTCTCCTCCTCTGTCATTCCGTTGTTCCCGCCCAGTATCTCCGACAGATCCAATGAAGGCTTCAGGACGTGGTGCCGCCCGTCCCGGGGGCATGTGGCGCCGCTCAGCACCCCATCCTCCGCGAAGAAAGTGCCAAAGACGCCGGAAAGAATAGGCACCGTGTGCTCCCGGCTGCGTATCCCGCCAACCACAAACCATTCCGTGAGCAGTGTGGGTTCAGAGGCCCTAGCAAATGCAGCCGCTGTCGTCCGTGCTACACGGTGCAATCGCGCCAGGAGGTCCTTCGCCGCCCTCCACGCACCACCACCACCACCACCACCACAGGTACAAGCCTCATCGACGTCATACAGCGCGGCGTGGAACCACGCAGGCAGAGCGGCCTCCCAGAGCATGTCGTACAGAGCCTGCGCCACACCATCCACTTGGTTAAAGTGTCCCATCGCCGCCGTGAACGTTTCACAGCACCGCCGGGCAAGCGCGGCGTCCTCCGACACGGCATCACCCTCTATGGCCACCAAGAGCCGCTGCCGCAGCAGTGGATGCAGCCCAACGCGACACGCTACGATGATGCACGAAGTGGCGTCAGGGCTCATCAGGTAGACGCCACGGGGCCTCACAGACCCCCCGCGGGGCGAAATAACCGCAAGGCCGCACTCCCCCTCCAGTACCGTTACCATTTCAGTCGCTCCTCCATTGAGAGCAAACATGTCCCGGTAGTTCGGCTTGGGCCCACTACCCGATACCTGTCCGTCACAGCCCGCAGCCGTTGGTGTTGGTGGTGGCGCCGCCAGCAGGAATGGCGGCGGGGCGTATGGGTGTTCGCATAGTCCAGGTGGGAGCGGGTGGAGGAACAGGGACGGGTACGGGTACGGTCTCACCGTCGCCGCCGAATCCGCCCTCATCGCATCCTGTCATGACGGAGAAACCGCCGTGGCGGATCCATCGTCGTCTGCAACACAACGGTGAGAGGTGCGCTCCTTCACGTACCGCCGCATCACGTCTTCGGCCACCATGACTATGTGGTCGGCGATGGCCACTCCATTTGACTCCCGCTCCCTCAGTGTGTCTTGCAAGAGGCTCACCTCGGCAGGGGTAACGTTGCAGAACGGCATACACGTCCTTTGACCCTGAGCAATACGTTCCTTTCCCTTCGCGCCGGTCCAGCACAGGCAGGGGCACACAGGCAGAGAGAAGGAAGCAAAGAAAAAGCGAAACAAAATGACGGCGCAGCAGAAGCGCACGTTTTCACCGCAGCGGCAGGAACAACAGGGAGTTCTGCCAGCGAGGCAGTGCCTATTAAATGAAAAACGAAAACAAAGAATCACAAAAACCATTGTGTGCCTCAGCGGAGAAGCCTCTCAAAGGAGCAAAGGCGCATTCATCTTAACGGCGACGGCGGCGCACCATCGTCTTCTTCTTCTTCGCCTGGAAGATGATGCCATCGTGGACCTTCTCGAACCACTTCATCGCCTCCTCTTTCCGCACGCGGTGGCTGTAACCCACGCGGCTCGTCTTGCGCTTGCGGTGCGCCACACGCTCACCACGGCGGCCGAGCACGACGTAGAAGTCCATGCCGTAAATGCCAGTGGACGGGTCGTACTTGATGCCAAGGTCGATGTGCTCGCTGATGCCAAAACCGAAGGAGCCCGTGTCGGAGAAGTTGTAGCTCTTCAGCTCGAACTCCTTCACCTTGAGGCCCTTCTCCAGCAGCTCCTCCGCCTTCTTGCCACGGACGGTGCAGTGCACAGCGATCTTCTCGTTACGGCGGATGCCGAAGGTACGCACCGTCAGGCGTGCACGCGAGAGCACAGGGGTCTGCTCGCACAGCTGCTCCAACACCTTAGAGGCGCGCGTAAGACGGTCACCCGACTCACCAACGCAGATGTTCATGCAGAGCTTCTTCACCACGATCTCACGCATCGGGTTAGACGCCTTTTTTTCCGTGATCGCCCTCGCCTCCGTCATTGTTAACAAAGAAGGCTATTCCTTGCTTCGGTCACTGGGCCGCCGAACAAAGAAACATGGAGAGAGGAGCAGCAACATTACAGTCACGCACACAACAGCAGCGATAAAACACACATCACACACATTGTTTGTGGACGGCAACGCAAAAATAAACTTTCCTCTCACCTGCTCTTCCTCTGCTGTTGGCGACTGTGTGGCAGCAAGGAGAAAGGGCAAGGGTGCAAATCAACTTGAAGAAACGGATCTCAGCAGAAGCAGGGTGTTGCTGTTGCTGTTGCTGGCTTCAAGTACTTCATTTACTTCCCTCCATCATCACACAGCATCTGGCAGGTGACTACAGAGCCAGTCGAGGCCCTCAAACAGACCGTCACCCGTGTGCGCGCAGCAGCCCTGCACATACCACTGGCGGTCGCGCATCGCTGGCCCCAGACCGGCCGCGCTATGGTCGCGGAAGCCGAGCTGCTCCACCAGTTCCGCAGGTGTCAGGCGGTGTGGCAGGTCTTGCTTGTTGCACAGTACAAGGACAGTCGCCTTTCCAAGAAGCGGCTCCTGAAGAAGTTTCTCCAGCTCCTGCCGCGCCTCCCGGACTCGGTCCCTGTCGTTGCTGTCGATGACAAAAATGATGGCGTTGGCTCCCTCGTAGTAGTGCTTCCACAACGTCCGCAGAACTTTCTGGCCACCCACGTCCCACAGATGAAATTTCACGTTTTTGTACTCGACTGTCTGCACGTTGAAGCCGAGCGTCGGCACTGTCTGCTGCACCTCGTTGAGCTTGAGCTTCCACAGGATGGTCGTCTTCCCTGCTGCGTCGAGGCCCACCATCAAGATCGTCGCGTCCTTTTTGGCAAAAAGTCCATCAAACAAACTCATCACAACGCCCATTGTTATTTGATTTCCTTGCTTCTGGTTTTCTTGTGTTTTTTTTTAATTCGCGTTTAATGCTATTGCCGAGTCTTACCTTCTCTTCTTGGTTTTCGTAGCTGTACTGCTTGTGTGTCTGTCTGTGTGTCACCGACTCAATGCCTCTTCCACCGAGTCAATCCTTCGCGTTCCTCACCCGGCACGCACGCACAGTGTCGTCGCTGTCGCTGCCGCCTCTGCGGTCAAACGGATCACGAGTGGATGTGTAAATATGTGTAGAATGCTACACACACTCCCTTCCGCGCCCAATCCGTCTTTCTTGCTGTTCGTTTCCTCCTCCTGCTACACAAGTACAGCCCGACCGGTCCCGCCAAAACAAGAAAGCTGCACGACTGTGGCGCGTTGTTGCCCGCCCCTCGCGTCCCTCTCGCTATTTCTCTCCCGCAGCACCCCTCAACTACCACACGCAGCAAGGAGCAGCAATGCAGCAAAAGGGAAAAAAAGGGAAACCGAGAAAAAGAAGGATAAAAAAAAAAGAGCGGCACAAAGGGGAAAAAACGTCTTTGCAGCAGCTTCGCCTCTCAGGGGNGGGGGGGGGGGGGGGGCAAAGGCCCAGGAGATCGGACCCTCCTCTCTCGTTAATCACCACTCAAATAACGTCGTGTTGTTACTATTTAAACGCAGCATTCATACACACCGTTCGCAGCGGCAGGAGGAACACAGAAGAGGAGGCAAAGGTCAGCCCCGCGCACGGCTGTCACCACGTCTCTCGCATCACTGACCCACTTTCGGCCTCCTTTTCGCCCCACTGCTGCTCGACTTCGCTAAGCGCTCGGCCGGGACGCTGGATAGCCGCTTCGTCTTCTTGTCGCCCGCCACCTGCACGACGCGGTTGTTCCTCTTTGCGGGATTCTCCATGCTGCTGATGCGCCGCGGCGCTTCTGCTGCTCCCGCCTTCTTGCTCTTCTTCTTCACCGTGCCGTCGTGCCCGCCGTGCAGCAGCGCATCAATGTTCACCGACGTCTCCCCTGCTGCATCGTTGCATCCCAAAACGAACTCCTCCATCCCATTGTCATCCTCCTCATTATCATTAACGTTGCTCTTGCTTAATTGCTGTTGCTGAGCCTGCCGCTGCTCCTCCATGGTCATGCGCTCAACATCCTCAACAGAGATCGCGTGGCCCGCAACGGGTGCAACTGCGTTTACGACTTCAAACTGCTGCGTCACTGGGTGGGGCATGTTCGGGTCGCTTTTCCCGTAGTAATTCGTCTTCGGAGGCTGCAAACGCAGAGGCTTGGTGAAGTCAAGTGACTCGCGGGTAAGATCCTCGTAGTTGTTGTTAGGGCCTTTGCTGCAGTGCGGCACATTCTTATCCATCTCGGGGTTGACGAAGTGAAAGCGCACCTCGGGGTCCTCCATCGGCACCGCGCTGAGCCCGCCCTCCGCAGCGAGGTGAAGCTTGCCATTCAGGCGGTCAACACGCTTTAATACAGCGGCTGCAACCTGCTGTGCGCGCTGCCGCTTGTGCAGCTTCTTCCATTTGGACCGCGACGACTTTGCCATCGCCCCTTTCTCCGCCCCTTGTGTGCGAGTCTTCCTTCTGCGTGTGAGCGTGATACGAGAGCGAGAGAGAAAGGTAAGACGAAGTCCTTTTTGTTCCAGAGATGGAGAGGGCTAGACCGCAAGGACGAGAGAAAAGACAAGGTGGGAGGCGTGAATACGTCGCCGCTCACATGCGGTGGGAATAAAAAAAAAACTGGTGGTTTTTGTGCGTGTCCGTGTGTATGAGTGTATAAGTGTGCATCAGCGTAAGCTTCTAGCCCCCCTCGTTCTGCAGCGAGATAGGCACACAAAGGGCCCGGTGAGTGCAGTGGCAGGTGGTAGTGGAGGTGCACGCATCCTACTCTCCCTCCCTTCCACACACGCACACATAAAAGGGGAATAAGAAACAACAGTTCTTCGGCAGCATGGAAACAGTTTGTCATAATTTTTGTTGTCGCCTTCTGTCTCTTCTCTCAGTTTTTGTTTCACCTGGCTTCAATCCCATACGACAGCCTCTCTACGTCAAGCACACCACCGCTGCGTCAGATAGACAAGTGGTGGACGCGTTTGTGAAGGCAGCTGCACACACACTTGACCGGGAGCATCGAACACCGCCACTTCTGCTGCTGCTGCTGCTGGATCGCTCCCTTGGCCCCATCAACCGTGGTTTATACCAATATATACCCTTTTTTTCCTCTCATCCGTACACCCATACACGCCAGCCACCCCAAGCCTCCATTGCCGCGCGCGCCACGCACAACACAGGGGTGAGAAAAACAAATGAACAAACGCATGACTGTTTTGAAGGGAAAACAAACAACCTAGAGGGAACCATGGACAGGCGATGCGAAGCCTCCTGGAAGGAGAAGCACAGCAATAGCAGCTTGCCGCTTCAACCCTTCCTTCCCATTCTTTTTTTTTTTTACTGACTGCGCCACTTTCTCCCTGAACAGTCCAGCTCACCTAGCATCTTTTTTCCTCCTTCACGAAGACCATCACCTGCCATCCAATTACATTCTCCTTTTCTTTAATCTGCTTCTGTCGATGCGATGATGCAACTCAGCTCGCCCATGGCATCCCTCCATCCCTATTCCACTTCACTTTCCCTATACGCTCGTAAAAAAACCTCAACCATGAAGCAATACGCCCCTACTCTTGAGGCAGTCACGGCTCTACTCCCCTTTTCTTTCGCCTACGCTAGCTCTGGGCGAGGCCAGCATCGCCGCTATTATCCTCACCCTCCTGTTTCCGTTCCTCTGTAATAGGGTCCTCCCCTACATCGTGTGTCCGCTGCGTGGAGCGAGCGTGGCCTCCGCTCTTCGAATTGTTGTTAGCACTGCCACCTGGAGGAGTTCCCTCTGGCCTTTGCGGAGGGAACGTCGGCTGCCACCGCTGCTGCTGCTGGTGCTGCTGCTGCTGGTGCTGATGCTGCTGGTGCTGATGCTGCTGGTGCTGATGCTGCTGGTGCTGATGCTGCTGGTGCTGATGCTGCTGCTGCTGGTGGTGGTGGTGGTGGTGGTGATGGTGATGGGTATCATTTATCATGGAACCTGTTGGGCTGTACGCAGGGAGTCCGACAACGGACATTCTGGGCAGACCAGCCGCAGTAGCAGCTGAGTAAGCCGCTCCACTCGCATTCTGATGTTGCTGCTGCTGTTGCTGGAAACCCACACCTCCCTGCATTGATGTGAACATGGCAGCAGAGGCTGCTGCATCGACAGGGTTTGGAAATGGATAAATGTGGTGTGGCATCATCATTGTTGTGGTGTGCTGGTGTCGCCAGTATGCTTGCTGGTGTTGATGCTGATTATTGCTCTTCGATTTTGTACCATTGTGTTGGTGGTTATGGTAATGGTTACCTAGGTCAAACTGTTGTTGTTGCTGGTGGTGATGCTGATACTGATGTTGCTGTTGAGCCTCGTATCCGGGCGAAGAGGAAGCCTCTGCTTGTGCCTTATCTTTCACATCTGAACCGCCTTGCTGACGCTCCTTAGATGGTGCTCCTTCTGAAACCGTCTCCGTTGTCGTGTCATTGAGGATGGTCTTGTTATTGTTGTTATCCGGCGCTGCTCCCTCGGGTGCCGTGGCTGGCACCTCTAGCAAGGCTGTAAGCGCAGTCTTAAGGTGTGTCGCCTTCTCACCATAGCCGTCACCGTTGTTGTTGCTGTTGTTGTTGCCACGATGAGCGCCACGCCCACGCATGCGTCCTCCACCATGAGGGGAAGCTCCACCACCGCGCGTGCCCCCTTGCCCGTGGGGCACCGAGGGCCCATGGGTGGACCCTTGCATACTCAGCGTGGGACCACCGCTACCGACACCACCAGCACCAGCACCAGCACCAGCACCAGCACCACCACTTCCACCGCTATTCACTGCGTCAAAAGCAGCATGTTGTTGATACAATTGACTTATCTCGTAACCCAAATATGGGAACGGCATCATAGGTTGATGATGATGATGCAGGTGGTGCTGGTGTTGTTGGGGGTGATAGTGCAGCGCCGCACTAGCAGGATGTGGCATCGGGAAATAGAACTGTGACGGGTCGGGATAGCTGGCGCCAGCACCGTTGGGAGGGAACAAAAACATCTGAAACGGAGCGGTGAGACCAAATGGAAGCTGTTGCTGCTGTTGTTGTTGAAGATGATGATGTACGGTGTTCGGTCGCATGTGCTGCCCGCGCACATAAACCGTTTCACCATTCACTGTGGTTGCATTCCCCCCCAGTGGAACCCCCTTGCTGGGGTGGGAGGGAGATGCCGCAGGTGCAGGGGCTGGGAGTGCGGGTCCCACCGCAGCTACTGCCGGAACTGGTGAAACTGATGTAGCAGACTTCGGTGACGACCGCGCCGGAGCGCCACCACCACTTGCTGTTGTTGTTGGGTCCTCCACAATCCCCTCGCAACGCTTCACCTGCCGGCGTGTCGTTGACGCCGTTGACCGGCCCCTTGCTAACTCGCCGCCCCGCGGATCAACCGTGGACGACTTGCTCCCCGGTATTGCCACTCCTGCGCCGCCGCCACGGGACGCAAAAGGAACCATAATGATGGGTGCGGCACCAGCAGCTTCCGCAGCTTCCCCAACTTCCCGGTCATCCTTGCTATGCAGCTCGCTAGGAGTGCTGCTTCTGCTATACGTGGCCGTCTCTCGGTGGCGGGAAGGTCGACTATCCAGTGGAGGCTCCTCCATGTTGGTGTGCAAGTTTGTGTATGCGGTGGCGGCTATCTGCTCTGTCTTCTCTCCGTCAGTGCGCAGCCACGGCAGCGGCAGCGGCAGTGGTGCGCTTTTCGTTGCTTCTGGAAGAAACGGCAAGGAAGCTGCCGGCTCCTCTAGCTTTGCCAAGAGCGTACCCGGTGCATCCACACGCTGCTGTTGTTGTTGTTGTTGCTGTTGCAGGATCGCTGTGTGAACTTCCATGAGTTCCTCAAAGGCGGTCTCAGGCGTGATCCACTCCAGTGCCTGCTGCAGCGTGCAGCCACCGCCACCATACCCGGTGAAAGTCGCCAGCGGGTCTGTGATGGGAACAAACATACAGCAGAGCTCTTGGAACTCGCGTGTGTGTAGCATCCTTGCAGTGATGTCATACTGGTCGTCGAACGGCGATGTCATGAATAAGTGTTGCCCCCTCTGCTGACACTTCCTCGGTTTCGGCACAACCTTTGACTCGCCATTGGGCTCGAAGCAGAGTCCCTGGTTGTCGTAGTCGAAGGCAAAGCCGTAATAATAACAGAAGTCATGGAACAGGTAACCTAGAGAAAACGTCGAGATCAGCCGGAGAGCCACGGAGCGAATCAAGCTTGTCTCGCTCTCCTCAGTCGCCGTCTCCGTCTCCTCCTCCTCCTCTTCTTCGTTCTCCGTTTTTTCCTCCTTCGCAGCCCCACCGAAACTAGTGTCTTCGCCCTTCTCTTCACAGCTTGCCTGAGTCGCCCCACCCACCTCCGGTTGGTCCTCTTCCTCCTCCTCGTTCTTGTTGTTGCTGTCGACGCCGTCGTCGTCGTCGCGCAACGCCATTTTCGTGGCGTCGTCACGTGCTGTGGGCACGGCGGCAGCTGAGTCCGCAGGCTGTGGTGCCGTGCCAGGTTGTGTGGCGTCAGTTGACGCGGCGGCACAACCGGAAGGTGCAACAAGTTTAGCGCCCGTTCGTTCCTCGACGAGGCACGCCGCCCGCTGACTATCTTCACCATTGCGGCCTCCATGCAGCTCTTCCTCGTCGAGGAACGCCAGGATAGAATTCAATATACCCACGGCATTCTGCTTGCCGTCACTGCTCTTCTGGTTAGAGTTAAACCGTTGCCTGAGAATAAGCTCTACCAACGAGAACTTGTCTTCAAAGAATGACGCATGCCTAGAGGAAGTTGGAGATGCTATAGGCTCCGCGTGAGCAGATGATGGGCCCTGCGCCTGTGAGACAGATGCATACGCATTGCTATTCCTTACACCGTCACTGGTACTGGCAGTGTCGCCTACCCCACAGGCGGCCCCCGCGGCCTCAGCCCTAGACTTTGCAGCTACACGTGCCACGTCATCCTGTTGCTGTTGCTGTTGTTGCAGCAGTCTCTCAATGTGTCGGGTTATCTCATTGAAGAAGTGCAGCACCATCAGATAGATAGCGAATGACGTCACACCACCAGGCTGTGAATCACCTATTCCCATCTGGCGCACACAATGCTTAAGGAACAGAATGAGCCCCCGCGATGCCGGGTACCGTTTTAACAGGTGATTTGTCAACTGCATCGAGCGCCAGTGCTCGCCACCAGCGAATGTAATGTCACCCCTCATCCCAGTGGCTTTCTCCGTCACCTTAATGACAGGTACGCGGGTGGAAATGATAGTCTGGACCTGAAAGACAGGGCCTTCGAGCGTAGGGACATACAGCCGGTGACCTCCTGTGTTCATCTGCTGGTGAGCTGGCGTTGTCGGCTCCACTGCTGCTGTCCCCACAAACGGCCGGAGCATGGAGTTATGTAGGGGTGACGCTGAGAACGGATTCACGTAGCCGTGTAGCGCCATAGCGGCGGTGCTAGGTCCAGCGGGAGGTAACGATGACGCCATTGCAGCAGAAGTTAGTCCGGCCCGCGTGCTGAACAAGTAATCCCGCTCGATCTGGCTACGGTACTCTGCCTCTTCCTCCTGCACACCTGTTATGGGGTCCGCGGCTCCAAGCTCACCTCCCGGTACCAAAGTGGCATCCACCACCTCTTCACTAGAAGAAGTGGTAGTAGTAGTAGTAGTAGTAGTAGTAGTAGTACCAGATTCAGGTGGGTCTTCATCCGCTGGCGCATCTTCGGCATCGCCCCCTGAACTACTGGTATCTTCATTCTGAGATGGGCCTCTGGTTGCCGCTTCCCGTGCTGTTATTGTATTTGTCTCTTCTCCCACATCTCCCGCGTCTGAGTTCTGCAGTTCATGCCCCTCGACGTGATAGATTGCCCGCGAGAGCTGTTGAATCGCCTGCAGAGGTGTCATCGGCTCGTACCCTACCACTAGCAGATCAATGTCGCTGGAGGAAAGTGCGAGGTCCGTTGTGATGGAGCCATGCACCCGCACCTCTGCTTGAGAACCAAAAACTCGTGTAACGACGCGCTGAATGCGGGAGATAAA